GAATATCTCCAGAGAAGGAGACTCCACAGCCTCCCTGGGCAGCCTGGGCCAGGGCTCCGTCACCCTCAGAGGGAAGAAGTTCTTCCTCGGGTTCAGCTGGAGCTTCCTCTGCTTCAGTTTGTGCCCGTTGCCCCTTGTCCTGTCGCTGGGCACCACTGAACAGAGTCTGGCCCCATCCTCCTGACACCCAACAAGAGAGCGGCTTTGGATGCGATGTGTTGGATTGCGAACCAGCTCTCCAAAGAGCTTTCAGCCTTTGAGCTGGAGGGCAGCAACTACCCTTTAAGACCAGTTTTTCACAGGCTGTGAGCCAGCCTGGTGGAGACGGGACTAGAACATCCCGGGGGTCTCTCACAAGGCTGTCCTGACGGGCAACGCGGGCACCGTCCTCAGGCGCAGATGTACCCGGTGTCACCCTCCTGCCCTCTCACCCGCTCACAGGATGAGCTGCTTTGACCTAAAGCCACTAAAAATATTGAACCTCCTTTTCCATGCACTTTGTATTTTAGTAGATGTTGGTTAGTGCCTTATTCTTGTTTGGGGGAGGCAGGGTGATGATGACTGAGCCTGCAGCTGCGGTTTTTTTCCCCATCATACGATGACTACTGTCTGCCTTCCCCCGCCCTCAAGAAACTCTTCTTCAGCTGTTATTAAAAATATTAGCGAATTCTTCAAACATGTTAGTTGCCTTAAGTAATCCCTGCAGATTCTGGCATGGATTTCCCTACCTCTGCAACCTGCCCTTTGCTGCAGGCACTGTGGTGTCCGGGGGATCCCACAGGCACACCACGGCTTGCACAAGCTCTGCTCTCTGCTAAATTCTCCATGAATCATGGTATGCAGGGAAATTTCCTCCAGGTGTTCAGTGATGCCTGAAAAAGTAGGTAAAGACGATAGGTTGGGCTAGGATTGCTTCCTGAAGGTGAAATTCCGGTGGGAGAATCCCCTTGGAGGGGAAGCTGTGTGCCCAACTGCCCCGATGGTCCACAGGGACGCAGGTGCAGCTGCGGGCAAGCGCTGCTCCCCCATCCCAGCCCCAAATTAGGACTTTTATGGCTGTTTGCTAAATATTTGCTTTCTTTTCTATGGGTGATTCTTCCTGAAATCAGAATATCCAACCAGGTTGGATATTACCAGGTGGGAAAGGGGAGATGCTGCAGTGAGATGTTTGCCATGAAGTGAGAGCAAAGAACACACCAAAATCCTTCCTCACTACTGAAGTGTGCTTTTACCCAAGTTTGAAAACATGAGTGGTCTTAGGTGGTTCTGGATCTCATGATGATCCTCTGCACAGAGGTATCAGTCATCCATAGAGTATATAATCAACGGATATATTTCTGAATAGAACCCCCCGCCCAAAACTGTCCGTATCTCACCAGTAGAAGACCCTGATTCAATCAGTCTAACTTTTTTAGATAACATATCCCTAAAATCACCATAAACCATCACCAGATTGAAAAAAAAAAAAATAATAGTTACACCTCTGTGCAAGAAATTTATTTTGCATAGATTCTGTTAGAGTTTGGTTACATTTCATAGAGTTCTGCATACAAATTTCCCAAATATTTAACTGTAAAGATGTCTATGCGATGTGTCGGCA